TGTAATTGCAATAAAAAAGGCCAATGCTATGCTAGGGATTATTAGGAAGGGTACTGAAAACAGATCAGCCAATATCATAATGCCCCTATATAAATCAATGGTGCGACCTCATTTGGAATACTGTGTGCAGTTCTGGTCACCACACCTTAAAAACGATATAGCTTTGGAAAAGGTGCAGAAAAGAGCAATTCGAATGATAAAAGGGTTGGAACACTTTCCCTATGAGGAAAGGTTAAGGCGCTTAGGGCTCTTTAGCTTGGAGAAACGACGACTGAGGGGTGACATGATTGAGGTTTATAAGATTATGCATGGGAAAGAGCAGGTAGAGAAAGAGGTACTTTTCTCCCTTTCTCACAATACAAGAACTCGTGGGCACTCAATGAAATTGCTGAGCGGTCGGGTTAGAACAGATAAAAGGAAGTATTTCTTCACCCAAAGAGTGATTAACACATGGAATTCACTGCCACAGGAAGTGGTGACGGCTACAAGCATGGATGGCTTCAAAAGGGAATTAGATAAGCATATGGAGCAGAGGTCCGTCAGTGGATATTAGCCACAAGGTATAGATAGGGGCTCTGGGGCAAGTGATGCTCTGTCTTCTTGGTGCTTGGGGGGGAGGGCTTCTAATGTCCTGGCCCCACTGATGGACCTCCTGATGGCACCTGGTATTTTTGGCCACTGTGTGACAGAGTGTTGGACTGGATGGGTCTTTGGCCTAATCCAACATTGGCGTCTCTTATGTTCTTATGTTCTTATATTTATTCATTTTATTTACTTGCATCAGCATCACTAAGGTGGCTAACAGATTAAAAACATTAAAAAATAAAACTAAAGAATAACATTAAAACCAAGCAAAAATACAAATAAAAAATCAAAACATATGGCAGGAATATACTCTGAATGTACAAAATGTGCATAATAGGATTGCAAGCCAGTTGCAACCAGTGAAAGTCTTGGGGGGAGTATGGGATGTGCCATCACTGTATCACTTCTTTGGAAAACCCTGAAGTGATGTCATGCCCCTCTAAGGCAATGCTAATTACTCTGCTGCAGCCCCCACCCCACTTGCAAAAAGACCCTTTAAAGGTTCTTTTTGGGAGCTGAATATGCAGCCCGCCCCTCTCCCTCCCTCCTGCTAGGTTTAAAGGGCCCTCCAGCTGGTCAGTTGGCCACGTAGTCCCTGCCAATCAGCTGAAGCCCTTTAAATTGGGCAGGAGAGGAGGGAGAGGGGTGGCCAGGGGGGGGCTTGGAGGTGGGGCTTCCCCACCAGCCAGCTGGCTGGGGGCAGATTGAAGCCCCCAGAAGCGGGGAAACCCCTGCCCAGACCTGGGCGCTAGCAACCCTAGGTGATTGCTAGAGAGGCATGTTGTCATTTATGGATTTTCTTCAGAAGTGAATGCCATCATGCCAACAGCAACTTTTTAGCTAATTTTTCTCTCACTGGCCCATAGGAGCAGAAGGGGGGGGGAGGGGCTACCAGTGGGAAGTTTTCTGCTTTAATAGTGGGAAACCTGTCAACCCTGTTTGTAGATGTTATCTGAATGCACAAAAAGTTACACACAGAAAGATTATGTATCTAGTTTCTGCAACTGTGCATAAAATGCTCTTCTGTTCTGTACCTCACAGTTTCCATCTTTGATAGTGTTAATCATATGTTTAGGTGAGAAGGGGGACTGATTCCAGGAATTCATTTCTTCCTAAGAGGTGATCAGAGCTGTTAACACTATCCATCTGTTAGGATGAACTTACGACTGGCAATATGCATGAGACTTGCTGCTGTATGCAAAGATTTCTGGAGCAGGGCCATACCATAAAGACCATGGAACTTTTCTAGTTGCTGGCTAGCTACAGCATTAAATTTTATATAAATATATATAACAATTCTAAAGATCAAGAGCTCAAGAATTCACATTTTAAATTATAGGCTGGTAGTTACTATTATAAATTAGGATAGCAGGTTTGATGAAAGTAGGAGTGGAAAATATTTGAAATTCCTAAGAATCAAAGTTTGTGTGAAAAGCAGCAAATCTTTTAGCTGCTAAGAATGCAGATAGGACTTAAGTGCTGTTACCAAATTTACATAAATTTACATAAACCATTTGAGCTCCCAAGTGACCTAACTTAAGTATTAATGCCTGGACATGACAGGAGGACTGTAACCATGGTGCTTGCTCAACTTAAGTCCATTTCATTGCCAGAGTTACATGCTATTACCAAAAATTATAATTGCTCTTTTTGTAAGCAGCTATGAAGCCACTCAGTGGTTTTTAAGAAAGCTACCATGCATGTGTGTAACAGAGTATCTCTCTTCCAAGATCCACATAACAGTATTGCACTACTTTGAAGAATTCTTATAAAGGTTATATATGTAATGAAGTGCGGCTGTTAAAATAAACAAAAGCCATGGAAAACCACTATGGTTAAGTATTTGTAAACCCCATTTATTTCAGTGCAAGAAACCTAAGCATGTGCTTAATCATTCTATTGAAACCAATAGGACTTATATGTACGTTAAGTGCTGTCAAGTTGCTTCTAACTTATGGCAACCCTATGAATTACTGAACGCCAATACACACTATCATAAACAGCCTTGCTCAGGTCTTGCAGGCTGAGGGCTGTGGCTTCCTTTGTTGAGTCAATCCATCTCCTGTTGGGCCTTCCTTGTTTCCTGCTGTCTTCAACTTTTCCTAACATTATTGTCTTTTCCAGTGAGTCTTACCTTCTCACAATGTGACCAAAGTATGATAGCCTCAGTTTAGTCTTTTTAGCTTTTAAGGAGAGTTCAGTCTATAAGCACTAAAATTTGAGTTGTGCCTTAGAATTCTTATTGCTCTTGATTCATAGTATTTTATTACCCCATCACTCACTCACTCACTCACTCACTCACTCACTCACTCACTCACTCACTCACTCATTCATTCATTCATTCATTCATTCATTCATTCATTCATTCATTCATTCAGGGCCATAGTATAACCAAATGGTTTAGGAGGGAGCTTGCTTTTATAAATGGAATACGATTGTAGTATATTGCACTGTTTATTGTATGTATTATCTTGCTCTTATGACAGTGTCTTCCACTAATACTTTCTCTGCATTCTTTATGGTATGTCATAACTTATACTGCTTTTTAGTTTTTGTATTCCTAGTTCTATTGCATTGTTTATTGGATTTTATGCTGTTTTCTTGCATTGTTCTTCCGTTGTGTCTTCTGCCTTCATTCTCAAAGGAAGGCTTTAAATAAATAAAAAATAACTTGTAAGAATAAAGTCTTGTGAAAACCATGTTTATTGGAAAATATCCTGCACATCTTATGCATATATGTGTGTATGTGTGTGTGTGTATGTATTTATGTATGTTGGTATGTGTGTATTAAAAATACACTATACTACCTGGAACATCCAGTGCAGCAAATTGTGCATTGTGTTGCCTGACTGATTTAATTCTTGAATTCTTGTTGTTTTTCACTTAAATGGTTGTTGCTGTTGTGATTTTAAAACTGTTTATAGAACTGTAATGGATATTAAGAGTTTAATTGTTATTGTGATTGTTGTATTATGGTTTTGATGTTGTTTTTGGCATTTTAGTGTTATTTGCTAAGGCTTGGGAGCCAATGTTATAAAGTTTATGTTAATGTTGTGCATATGCAGATATAAAACCTTTTTAGAAAACAATTTCTTTTTATTTCAGTGTGATCGTTGCTGGCCACTATACAATGACAAGCCTTTTCATCCAGGAGATCAAGTTCATGTCTATAATTGCAAGCCTTGTCAGTGTTATGGCCATGCAGTAAGCTGTCACTACAACAGGACAATGGATCCTTTTCCTAATGAATACTATAGAGGTGGTGGTGGAGTCTGTGATAACTGTCAACACAATACCACAGGTAATTAACACAACAGAACAGAGTGCAGGGCCACTGTGGCTGTTGAAATCATTCTGAAGAATTGTTACATTTGAGGCTGAAATGTAATAAAAATTGTATTTTCATTGTATATAAAAATCCAAAGAATGGAATTGATTCCTACTCTGCAACAAACTGCGTATTTTGTATTTTTGAAAATGTAGATCTTCTGTATGTACTGTGAAGTGTGGATCTATACCCTCTACCACAGGTGTGCACAAGACCTGTATGTGTGTGTGCATAATGCTCTTGATTCCAGTGATCCTTCTTCCTGCTTTAGTCTATTATACATTTTATATATTAAGATGCACGGACTGGTGGGTGTACCTGATGGTCCACATCTACACTGTTTCTTTATTTCTAACTATGTGAAAAGGCCCTTATTGAAAATTATATTCAATCATGTTTGAGCACTGGAACTTAGTATACAATGAAAAGTTGTCAACCTGAGATATTGAGGCATCTCAGAATGACCGGACTATCTAACAATAGCTGTTCTATCCAATACTTAGCACACTTAAAAGAGATCTATTCTACAGTCAATATGAACCACCACCTGCATTCTAGTAGTTTACTAGACTGCTTCATCACCCTCAGGTTCTATGTAAACTAGAGGGGCCTATGCAGATGAATCAGCAAAAACTGATGTTGATGGTCAAAGCCGTTGCACTATTTCACAATTTAGTTAATCAAAGCTACCATCAAGGAGTGTTCTTCTGAGAACTGAGATGTCATTTGACTTCTTGAGTTTGTGATGATATTCTATTCTAAGATACTGTTCTAATTATATTATTTGTGCCCATACACTTGGAACAATATGTTTTCTCTGAATGGAGTGATCTGACCATGGTAATGGTATAAGGATGGGTCCTACCTGCTCTTTTCTGGTACAAAATAGAGGAAGGACCCATTTGATCCCTGTAAAATGTATGCCAGGGTTTGTGGGCTCCATGTGGACATGGGGCAATGCAGGAGGAGGTTGCATGGTGGCGAGGCAAGATCATCCCTTCTTCCTCTTCCACTAGGAGAAAATCTGATAGGACCCAACCCAATATCTTGGTTATTCAGACACCTGCTTTTCATGTGTTGGGTCAGTTCTTACTCAAAGTGGAAAGACCAATATTTGTTAGGCAGGACAGGAAATCCAGATTAGTCATGAGGAGTCAGTTTCAACACATACAACAAAGTGCCCCAAGACCACTTTGGTGAACTGAAGCAGGCACTGGCTATCTAAAGAAAAAGGTGAGCATATGGCTCTTCCCATGACTTGAACCACAGGCAAGAGGCTAGAATGGAAGCTTTTGAATGAACAGAAAACCTTTTGGTACTTTTTCTCTGTAACTTTTCATCCTTGTGAATAAGAGAGTAGGGTCTCTCAGGGTCTGTAACTCCTATTAATTGTTTCTAATACTACTATTACACATGTAGAATCAACTGTACAACAAGGTGCCTTGTGCATCAGCAGAATCTCCAGTCTAACCTAGACCTCCAGTATAATTTTCTGCTAGACATGGTTGGTTGACCAAAGGTTTTGGAGTGCCTTGAGCTATTGTAGAGAAGTTGCTTGAGCCATTATTTTAGGCACACTACTTATATTTATTTTTTAAAATGTTAATTGCAGAACATTTCTAACCTTGCACGCCCAACCTGTGATGATTTTGTGCACTATTTTTAGTACTCTTGGTGTTCCAAGGGTTTTAGGGAGAGCAGAGAAATTTTGAGGTTCAACAGTAATTTCCTTTTTAAAGTATAGAACAGATATCCATGCAGAATAGCTTTATAGGAGTGTTGTGTTATGTAACAGATGGAAGTTTAATGGAGTAAAACACAGTTTGTAACAGGTTCATTGTTTCATATGCTCTGGATCACTAAATTGGCAGGTAGAGATGAAAGGTGCATTAAAATGGACGTCCTGAAAATTATAGAATTCTCTCAAAGGAATAGTCTTTAATTTTGAATTATACAGCTAATTTTAATGAATTGGAAGCTATAATGCATAACCTTTCCTTCATGCAGGAAGAAACTGTGAGCTGTGCAAGGATTTCTTTTATCGGCATGTGGATGCAGATCTTTCAGCTGTGAATGCTTGCATACCATGTGAATGTGACATGGCAGGCACTGAAGCCACTAGCCACCTCTGTAATAAGGTACATCATTTTGACCCAGAATGTCAAAGTATTTGCTATCATCAGCTGCTCTTGGCTGTGCTTTGTAGGATAAGGTGGATAAAATTTTGGCTGAGAAAAAAAAAGTTCTGTTCCAAAATTACAATAGATTCACAGTGAACTCAGGTGAATTTCTTTTATTTATGAGTCTGCTTTTTTTATTTGTAATTCACCATACCTCTGAAGGTACATATGTGAAGACAGTGCTTTAAACCATTGCAAAATGCTTTATATACCATAAATAAATTAAATATTCAGACATGTGGACTATGAGATCATAGGAAGAACCATTAGCATTAACTGGACAATACAATGATTCAGTAAGCAGAATAGCTGGGAAAAACAGTGAAGACAGAAAGCCCTATCAGCATCTGCTGGTTATATTGCTGTAGCATGTAATTCAGGCAAATCAAGCAGTGAACAATCTGATCCTGTACCCAAAAATGATTGGGAGGGATTTGTGTTGTGGTGTTAGTGAGGATGTATATAGCCTGAATTTTAGAATATAGAAATTGGCATCATGGACTTACAAAAGAATCAGAACTAGACCAAAGCAAAAAGGGAGGGAGGGATTGAGAAAAGTGTCAGAATAGTCAAACTTAGGATAGCAAACCAAGCAGAGGTGGCAAACTGTTTAGGATATATTTAGTGGGCATGGGTGTAGCTTTTGTAGGAGAAGAGTTCCAAAACTGGGAAATCATTAGCACTTCTTCAGCAATATACAATATAAAGGGTAAATTCTTTGGCCACCATAAAACTTGCACTGGAAGATATTGAAAAGGATTTTTCTTTAGAGATTTACAGGTTATATATCATCTAGCCTACCATCTAGAGTACATTGGAATTAATGTAATATACTGATAATAACCTAAGAACATGAGAGAAGCCATGTTGGATCAGGCTATTGGTCCATCCAGTCCAACAGCTGGCCGCAGATGGGAGGGCGGGGTATAAATTTGATAAATAAATTAACAATCTGTGTCACACAGTGGCCAAAACTCAGGTGCTATCAGGAGGCCCACCAGTGGGGCCAGAGTTCCAGAAGCCCTCCCATTGTTGCCCCCATCACTGTCCCAGACATAGTGTTCCATCTATACCTTGTGGCTAATAGCCAGGCCCGTAGCTAACAACGTTTTGCTCAGGGGGCCCACCCACCAATGTTCCCTCTAAGCTGTGGAGTTTTGTGAGCAAAACTTCTACTTTGGGAGCTACTGCCATTAAAGTTGTGAGAGAGCAATTTGGCTGCCACATAAATTAGTTTGCTCTCTGGAGCCATCCTTCCTGACCACCCGCCGCCCTCGCCTCCACAGAAGGCCAGCCAGACTAGAGGGGGGGGCGCAAGAAAGCAACAGAGTCCGGGCTGAGGAGGGGGCGGAAATCCGAAGGCCAGGAGGGAAGGAGTCCAGCCCCAGCTGGAGGAGGAGGAGGGTGCCAGCCCAGCAGAGGTGATGGCACAGACCCGTCAGATCTCGGTTATCCCCCCCCAGCCAGGCTCTTCCTATGCCCGGGCTGCAACGGGACTTGCGGCCGGGGAGAGGCCAGGCAGGGCGCGCCTGGCCAGGAGGGAGGGAGGGACTCGGCAGCCTTCAAGGGAGAACCAGAGAGCGAGAGAGAGAACATGCCTTCCTGGGCGCCTCACCTGCCCGTCGAGAGCCACCAAGGGAAGGGAAACTCCTCGCAGTGAGGGAGGGGGCAGACCTTTCTGGCCGATCCTCTCAAGTTCAGAAAAGCAACACAAAACCACACCCGGCATCGCAAGGGATCCCTCCCTCAGCTGGAGCCAAAGGGAGCCACCGAGTGAGAGGGGGAAGGAAAGGCGGCTGCCTGCCTTGAAGTGGGGAAGTGGGAATCTCGTTTGCCCTCGGAATCCAGTGGCCTTCTGGATCTGCTCGGGGAAAGGACCTGGGAAGTTTGGGGGTGGGGGGAGAACAGGACAGGGAGCGCGGGCTTGCCTTCTCTGCGCCTGCGCCGTCCAGCCTCTTGGTGCCCTCCACTCCCTGCGTTGATGAAGCTCGCTCGCTTGGGAATCGTTTCCCCAGCTTCGAAGGAGTAGCTGGCTAATCGGGGACCAGGCAGAGACCGAAGGGCAACTTTGGAAGGCTCTGCTTCTGGATTGGGCAGGGGATCTCTCCAGAAACTTGCCTCTTGCCCCCCCACACTTCGGGGTCAAATGTGCCGCAGATCCCTCTCCATCCCGAAGCTCCACAGTGATGCTTAACCCAAGTTCCTCCTCCCCTCCACGGGAGCCTGGCCTTTCACACGCCCTGCCAAAAAAAGAAAGAAAGAAAAGAAGAAGGGAAAAAAGAGGAAAAAACTTGGGGGGGGAGGCAAAGGGACCGGCGCCTCCCACCTCCCATCAAGCCGCGTCCCACCGGCAGGAGGGGGGAGGGGGCCGGGGGGAGGAGGAAGGGGAGCAGAGGATCGGGGGAGGGGCCCGCAAAACCCACGGGGGGCAGGGCCCCATGCAGGCTATGAGCCTGGGAACCATCATTGCCAATCTCCAGGTGAGGACTGGAGACCACTCAAAATTACATCAGTTCCTCTGGAGCATTATATGCTTTTTCTTTGAACATGGACTAAAAACCTTATACACTACACATGGTGGTGCTGAAGTCCATGCTTATCGGACTCCTTCAGACAACCTCACTTCATATAGACCCCACTCTATGGGGGAATTATTTGAATGCCATGTCAATCGCATCTATGATGAAATAACCCATAATAACCATTGTAGATGAAGTTTTATGGGTGCATGTATGGGAATTTAGAAACTATATCAGATCAATCCATGTCCAAGAGTCACAGATTGAGGTGAAAGCCCCTGTTACTTTTGAAAATCTAGAAGATGAATTGTAGAAATGTGCATTCATTTCCGAAGTAATGAAAAAATGAACTGGGAAACACTCATTCATTACTTTTGTTGATGAAAAAGAATAGGAGTAACAATTAATGCCATTTATTTCATTTGTTTTACTGTGTTTTGCCTTAAATTGCACAGAAAACTGGATATCTTTCTCCTATCTGATACATCCATTTAATGAGAAGGAGGATCTCTGAAAATTTCATCCAAATCAGAAGGAAAGCTCAGAAATCATATCTAGAAATGTTTCCCATTGAAAGTATTGTGAACAAAAATGAATATCAACAAATGCAGTAATATAATGAATACGAACAAAACTGTTCAAATGAAAATGAATGCAAAAACAAAAAAAATTCAGAGTTGGAAATTTGATGCATACAACTGATCACCAGTTTCTTAGTTCCTTTACAGAAGTTCCCATGTGAATATTTGTTTCAAAGTGTGGGGGAGGGGGAGGGTACCAATGCTTTTAAATCCCTGATGTTCATTTAGTCAGGAATAAAAATACACAGTGCAATAATAACTCCATCTCAAAAGACTGGGCTGGGCAGTCTTTGGGTGGGTTCTGGTTCAGTCCAAACCTGGTTCAGTTTTTGTATTTTTGACTCACACTTTATTTTATGCAATGATGAGCAATCCCTTTATCTGGTAATGTATTGTGACTTTTCCTGTCATCTTGTGTTTGTTTTTTATGTTCAGTGGGGACATATTTTTATTGGTAGCTTTTATCCTTCAAGAGGCTATGTGAGCACAGCAAGATTTGATGACTTCTACCTGTGAAGAGCTCATTGCTGCCATGGAGTTTAGGCTTGTAAAGCAATGTGAAATCTAAAAGCACTCTACTTATTATATTGGCGACAATATCCTGAAATATAGAATTTGATTGTCTAGGCTGAACAGTGATACTTTTCTGACCAAGTACCTAAAGATTTAAATCCTTTAAAACTCTACCAACAACAATCATATGATGGGGTTAAGAACAGAAATAGAGAGAGAAATTAAATTAAAGTTTGAGATTCCTGCCTTAATGTGACAGTAACAATGGTAAGTAGATCTAGTTCCAAGCGGTAAACTAGTTTCTCTGTCTCTTTCTCTCTCTGTCTCTCTCTGTCTCTCTCTGTCTCTCTCTGTCTCTCTCTGGAGTGGTCAGACTGAGAATTGAGCACCAAACCAAGATTGTATTAAAAAAAAGAAAATAAGGAAAAATGGGTTGTTCTGTACAGCTCAATAAGGCATCAATAGACCGCTACAGTAGGAGGAAGGAAGAGTACGATGATTAAGAGGCATTAAAATAGATTAATAAGGCTGGAGAGTATGGGCTGAAATGAATTACATGAAATAGAAAGGCATTATTGAAGGCAGTGTTTCCAGGTCTGACCTGGGGAAGATGGAGTCATAAGGAATAAGGACCTTGGCTCATGAAAATTAATTGTCACATCACCAGGATAATTTTCAAGGAAAATGTGTTAAAATGGGCCAGAATATACTTTCTCTGCATAATTTACCATTCCCAGCAGTTCATCAACGCTTTTTCTGTACAGAACCAGTTATGTGTCATTTAGCCCAAATGAAGATGCAGAAGTCCAAAAAAGAGCAATCAGGAGTTCTTTATCCTTTGTATTCAAACAATACAAAATGTGTAGGAAAGGGGAAGTGGTTCTTCTGTCACAATAGCCCCAGTTTTTGTTGATGTAAGCGAACACAGAAAGGACACACTTGATGACAAATGGAAAAACAATGGGCACAATCCAGTCAGAGTTAAGCACTGTTAGGTCCCATTGATTTCAGTAATAGTGTATATAATTGAAATCATTATGTGATTGTACCCCTTCACATAGGGAATGCTACTGTGTGACATAATCTCATGCTGCAGGACAACATCTATGAATAACATAAGCAATGACAGGCTAATCATATGGACCTTTCCCATCTGGTTGGTATCTGGTCATCTTCATTTACGTTTCACGGTAAAGGTTAAGGACTGTATTTTAATGAGCCAATGATCCAGAGGAAAAGTGCAGTACTTGTATCCAGGAACATCAAGTGCCTTGACTGCAAGGCAAAACTTTTCATCTGATGCTCAAACTGGGCATTCTCTTCAATATTTATTTTGTTTACTTAA